AGAGAGAGAGAGAGAGAGAGAGAGAGAGAGAGAGAGAGAGAGAGAGAGAGAGAGAGAGAGAGAGAGAGAGAGAGGTCTATTTTGGGGGATGTGAAAAATAGAACAGGAGCGAGGAAGCAATCATGAAGGGGTATTGTGCGGTGTATAGAGGTGGAGGCGGAGAAAAAGTGGGAGGCAGGAGGGAGAGGAGGAGGTGAACGACCACTTCCATTTGGTGTCTGAGTTTTAGGTACAATATATTAGGTTGGGCTCCTTGTTTGTGGGGATCAGGATTCTCTTTAGGTCTTTCTTTTGGTTTCAGGAAATTCATTCGTTGCATTTTCCCCCCCAAAATCCTCCTTTTGCCGGTCGAAGTCATAACAGATCATCTAGTGGGAGCAGGATTCCCTGCTTACTCATATCAGTGCCACCATCGAGGCTGTTTGGGGCTTTTTTATTGGCCGATTATTGGCCGGACTGCCTGCTGATGCTCGCGAGGTGCAAGAGCTGGGGAGCTGAGCCAGTTTAGGCATATCCTCTAGAAAAGTACATTGATCAAAAGGCTCAGGGACATCTGCTCTGGATCTCGGTCAAAAGGTAAAAGAGTCTGAACATTAGTACCTGCTTACGCATGCTAGAGTCGAACACGTGTTGTTGTTCATGTCTGGAGGACACTGGTGATGGGCATCATTTGGGAGGGAGTTGGTAATTCAAGGGAATTGTAATGCATTCATGAAAAAGCTCAAATGTGATCACTACCTTGGATGGTGGCATTCAACATTATTTGATCAGCGGTGCACGATAGTTGTGATGGTTGTCATTTGGGGACAAATTTTGTGATTCCAAAGCAATTGCAATGTTTTGCGTTTCGGTATGAAGACTTATTGTCATGCATTCAATTGTCAATTTGTTGTTGAAATTTCTAGCAAACTGGTCTGACAGCACATGTTTACTGTTTCTCCCAAATGGATTTCCACTTGGCCATTGTGTCACTGTTTCCCTTGCAGGATAGGACGGCCTTCGAAAGAGAGGAGCTTGAAGATTTGTTTGGCAAGCTATCCTTGTCTTGACTCGTTAGTGGTACGTTGACAAGTATCTGAGAGTCCTGCTTAGTCTTGGGATATACCTCCGCTTTGCCCCCCCCCCCTTCCCCCCCAACCCTCCCTCCCCCCCGAAAAAACAAAAACAAAAAAAACGACTCTTTTGCTTGCACGGGGTGGCCTTGGCATGGGGCTGTCCGGGAGGCTCGTATACATATGCTCAGCCGGATGGACCAGATCAGGACAGCCCCCTTTAAGTCCCTGTAAGCCCCATTTATATCCTCTAGACGCCCTAAAGTGAGACATCACCAAATTAAAGGGTGGGGCTAGATTTGGGCACATCTGGGTGGGTGTAGGAATGCCCAACCGACAGTATTTTATCTAACGGCTACCCGGACTTTTTGGCTTGAACGGGTCTTCCAGGCTCAGGTACTGGGGTCTGTGTGGGCCGGCTGGGCGGGTGGGCCAGAGTCTGTCATCGAAGGTAACTAGTGGAAGTTTCCAGTGTTTAGCATGTCCTCCAACAATGTCGATATGCGATGAACAGCTGTAGTTGTCCCACACACAGGATGGTCCTCAATCAACCTGAACTTCTAAACTTGATGATGGCTATATCTAGTTGAGATAGCGTTGCTGTCAGGATGAGCCAGGTCTCATGACATTGATGTGTACAGAAAATCTGTCCAGTCCTTAGCCTCTCAAGTTCGATGATGTCAATAACCTTTCCTTTGTGCTCATGTGTTGTACTCACTGTCTTCCCACAGTTTTGCTGAGCACATGGTAATCATCGAGTGGAGGAAGGGACGGCACAGGTGTCCGGTCAAAAGTCGGAGGAGGAGAGTCGGAAGGCCGGAGGCAAAGATATGAAATGAAATGAAAGGTCTGTTAGACCTTGTACAGAACAGCTGCTGGCTCTTGGGAAAGAAAGACTTGTGCAGAGACTTCAAGAAGTAGGGAGACCGAGACAGTGAAGGGTCTGAAGAGATTAGGCACCAGAGGAGGAATAATCGATAATAACCATGGATGATCGTCATGAAGCTGCGCAAACATTCACCCTCTATAACACAGCTGATCTTACAGGTGTTGAGGTGGGAAATTGGGTGGAGGAGAGGGCCCTGCAAAAGGAAACTGGTGTTTTTCGATACAAGGTTGGTTATCTGTGTTACACGTGGTGAAACCAAAGCTTCTTTCCGTTATTGTTCTTCGTTGGCAGTCAATTGCAATCCTTTTCCGTGAAAATAATTGTGACCAATCAAGCTGTGTGGGGTTGATCTTGAGCTCAAAACAAAAGTGCATTCGCATAGAGGTGCAAAAGGGTCCGTGAAGCGCAATTGGAAAATCTATAAACACGAGTAAGGGTCAAGGCCCAATTTTGGTGCATTCGTGCTCGGAAAGCATGAAACTAGTCATGGAAATGACCAGGTTCTTGCTTCCATAGCATGTATATCGTGCCACGTGGGGCCTGATACTGAAATGAAGAATGATGTTGTGGTAACTGAAAAGACTATCCAAAATGTCAACCCAAATGCAAGCTTTTTGGACCAAATGTGAGCTTTGTGGACACCCAAACATGAGCTTTGTGGAACCCAAAAGTGAGCTTTTGGCACTTTGTGGACCCGAACCTGATCTTTGTGGACCCCCAAACGTGAGCTTTGGGCCCTTTGTGGGCCCCAAAACGTGAGCTTTGGGCCCTTTGTGGGCCCCAAAACGTGAGCTTTGGGCCCTTTGTGAACCAAACCTGAGTTTTTTGGACTCAAAACGTGAGCTCTGTGGACCGAAACGTGAGTCGTGAGAGCCCCCCCCCAAAAAAAGAAAAAAAAAGTGAGCTTTCGGCACTTTGTGGACCCAAACGTGATCTTTGTGGACCCCCAAACGTGAGCTTTGGGCCCTTTGTGGACCCCCAAACGTAAGCTTTGGGCCCTTTGTGAACCCCCAAACGTGAGATTTAGGCCCTTTGTGGACCCCCAAAAGTGAGCTTTGGGCCCTTGGTGGACCAAACCTGAGTTTTGTGGACTCAAAACGTGAGCGCGTTGGGCCCTTGTGGACCCGAACGTCAGTCATGAGGGCCCAAACACGGGCTTTGTAGACCCTTACATGAGCTTTGTGCACCCAAACGTGAGCTTTGTGGACGCAAGCCTGAGCTTTGGGCCCTTTGTGGACACAAATGTCGACGGCACTGGCTGAAGGCGGTGGGCTGAATGCCAGTTCATTCAACTCACTGCAAAATCGAAGGGAAAACGAAAAACAAACGAGAAATCGTGTCCGCATTCCCATCCTAATCCCTACTTCCCCCTCTAGCCCCTCCTCAGTCTCCATCTCCTTTTTATATGCCTATGAGGTGACGAGGGTGATGGCGAGTGGCTGTCGGGACAGCTTGTCTTCTTTTGTTATATTGGGTACGCCTGTTGGTGGTGGCTGGGATGGTATTTTAACGTCGGTCAAAGGGTTCATTGTGCTCTGTGTGCCGACCCTTTGTGTAATACTGCATGCCGATAAAGGAAAGTGCAGATATCAGTGTCTGGCTTGGTGAGCCATTCGATACGGTACAGGTAGGGAGGAGTCCTACGCGATGCTGAATAGCCCTTGGTACTACACCTGAGGGTGCTTCAGCTATGTCCACATAATCTGTGTATATTAGACCAGATCAAGTGAATTGGGATGAGATGCTTCCCAAAGTAGCTAGTGCCTACAACAACAACGTACACCTAGCTACTTGCAGAACTCATAACGAACGAACTGCATAAGTCCTTCAGACCACGTAGGCCGTTTGAAGGACTGAACCGGGATCAGATTCAGAGGTTACCGCACGGTACAAGAGAGTTTGCTTCTGCAGCACGAGAAGGAAGTTCAAAAGGTGATCGAAAACCTTAGAAAAGCCCAGCATCACATGATTGAACAAGCGAATAAGCATCACAGACCCTCGTAAGTCAGGGCAGGTGACTTAGTCTGGGTTAAGTCAAAGGAATTCGCACCAGAAGAAAACATCTCGCAGAAGCTCTTGCCCGCATATAGAGGGCTGTGGCCTGTCCTAGAAGTAAAAGGTGGAGAGGATGGACCATCATATACGCTAGAGATTCCACCACACCTCCATACGTATCGGTCTTCCATGCATCCAAGGTACCATGTGTCACCAATCGACAGTTTCCTTCGCGGAGATCAATGATTCCGCCAGATATGGATGGCACCTATGACATAGACCGTGTACTAGAAGAAGACGTATTCCTGACTGGAGGTAGAGGTCGTCCCCAGTACAAAGTCAGGTTTGCTTACCAGGAACCTGAGGATGACAGACGGTTCGCTAGGACTGAGCTCCTAGAAACTGCTCCCGACATAGTACACGCTTATGAGAGAGCAAGAAAAGGTAAAGGTCCTACCTTTAAGTAAAGAGTTCTCGGAGGATCTCGAATTTAGGACGGCGGGAGTGAAAGGGTTTCACGCAGTTCGCACAATGTTGCAGACACCAAGACTCGATCCCCGTACCTTCCACAGCCCACTGTATAGTAGCCCGTTGACCCTGTGTGTTTTGAACCTGCGACCTGTCCCTAAACTCATGCACAAATGTTTTGAGTATGTAGTCTAGGTCGTGTGGACTTGAGCCGTAGACCTACGGGTTAGTAATCTTAGGGTCAGTCTATAGGTCTAGCCCTACGTGTGGCGAAAGGTCAGTCAGTCGTCGTCTGGGAGGTTCTAGAAATGTCAAACTGACCCTTCGGAGCTTTAGGAGTCAGGACTCAGTCCCTCAAACTCCGTAAGGTCAAGTATCCTTAGCCTAGTCAGCAAGTAGTCCCAGTCCTAGTCTAGTCAGCAAGTACCAAGTGGGATTGCACATCCTACGGGCCTGGGACATCGGGCAGGCCCGGACCACCTAACGAAACAGTATAAATAATGAGGCAGCGACCAGCCATTCATTCATTCGCCTGCGAGCTGCGTGGAAGCGCTGTCCAAGTGACTTGTGCATTGAAGTTCGCCGGTGGTCAGCCAGTGCCCGAAGGTGGAAGAGGGCGAGCAGCCACAGCCGCTAGTAGGAGGGAGATGACGGCGGCCATAGCCGCCAGTGTAGCAGATATGATATGTGTGTGTGTGTGTGTGTGTGTGTGTGTGTGTGTGTGTGTGTGTGTGCGTGGACATTCAGGGTAGATCCTAGTACGTGTGTACGTGTGTGTGAGTGAGTGGAGTGAGTCTGATGGTGGATACAGTATGGAGGTTGGAATTTCAGACTGGCTCTCAGACGCCATAGCCACAAGCTGTGACAAGTTGACTTGGGCTGAGTCCCTGGCTGAAGGCCGTAACTCGACTTTTCTGTGTGGGCACCCTGCGCCATCTCACTCTTGTTGCTGATCGTACTTCGAGGAAGTTGTTCTGCCATCGGCACCTGCATGTATGCATGTTGAAAGTGAAGTTGACGTCAAGTTTGATTGCATTATTTTAATATATATATACCCCTCGTTTGTTGTCCTCTTCTCTCTCTCTGCCTACGGTTTTACCGGGCAGTTCTGTTTGTGACGATATATATATATA